CCGGGCGTGCACGAAACAGTGGTTAAATCAGTCCCGAGATTAAACGGCGCCGACCCACGTGACATTTTACGCTCCGAGAGCCGCGTGGCGAATTTCGAGGGCTGCTGCGCGCCCTGTCCTCTCGCTCGCGTCCGTCTCCCTCTCCCTCTGCCCTTTCTGTGACCCTGTTTTCCGAACGCTCGTATTGAAGAGCGTAACGATGCGGTCGACGCACGACAAAAGGATGGCTTGCACAAATCCAGTGGACACGTCGACCGGTTTATCCCCCGATGATGCCACACTACGCCCGCGTTGTCCTCGCCTCTTGTCGGCCTGCCCGACAACGGGCGTGAAGCGCCACGGACTTTTTCACTCGGTCTCCTCTCATGCCGAAGAGTGCACACCGAGTCGCCGACGACGATAGGGAAGAGGACGAGGCGAGGTTAATCGCGAAATAAGATCCGTCGCGGCAGCGTTTTTCTAGTGTAATACAGCCGCCCGATTGTTTCTCGCTCGGTGAGATCCACGCGACGCGGCCGACGAAAAAAAGTATTTACAATGTGTGGCGAAACGTGCGCCGCGCTTATCTCCGTTCATGCGCGCGCGCGCGCGCGCGCGCACGCGACGTGACCCGCGAGATCTCATTAGTTAAGCAAATTATTTTAAGCGACTTTTTCGGTAGGAGAGATGTATCGGGCGCGCGAGAGAGGCTAACAGAACGCTAACTCAGCTACCAAGATAAAAGCGATAAAACATATCAGTATCAAGCATCCGCAAACTCCGCCGAAATTAAATTCCCCTCCCCCCTTTCCCGGGCCGCAAGCGCGCTGCGGTGAATGCAACGTAGAAAAGCGGACGGTATTTAATTGGCCTGCAAATAGATCCCAACCCCCCGTTCCATCCCCCCCTCTCCTCTGTCCTCGTCGCTGCGCATTAAATCTCAGAATACCGCGAATGGTTCCGCGTCAATTCGTGCGTGAAGCGCAATCTCGCGCGCGCGCGCGCGCGCTTCCCCGTGACGTAATGTGAAACGTCCAGTAGCCGACGCTCTGTCGAGAGGATTTTATCGATTTATTAATTACTTCCGCTCCGTGTAGAAAAATCTCCCAGGATTCTGCCGGATAGAGCTCACGATTGGAATTTACAAATTTGTCTCAAAATTGGTTAGCCAATTTTCACGATGTCAACTGGGAATCTCATTTTGACCCCAACCATGGGTTCTTCCTTTAAAATCAACACAGGAGTAGTCTATGGAAATTTGCGCTTTTAGTCGCTTTTTGTTTTCAGTTGGGGCGATATTTTTATCAAACGATTTTGACAGTCCGCGGTTAAATGATCGCGCTACGCGCGTGCGTTTGTATGGAACAAAGTTCTGGTAGAATAAAACTCGAAAAAGAAATGAAATTCTAATAGAAGAAATGAAATTCTAGATTGGAAACCAGAGAAAATATTGAGAAATCTTTGGCTTTTCCACGAAAAGTCGAGTATATGAAATTTCATTTACATTTGAAATGAAATTGCATTTCTAATTAGAAACTGTCTAGAAATCGGTCTACATCTCAATTAGATCACAAGACATTTTCTATGCGGGGTTCTTAATTGTTTCTTAATTATCAGTTATTTAACTGCCTATTTATTTATTCGCTTTTAAACCCCATTCACTTTAATACTTGATCAAAGCCGAGCAAGAGTGTCGAAAACTGGCAATAAATGATGTTGACTGCTGAACGTTTTATCTTACTCTTTCACAATACATCATCACTGACCTCGTTAGGCTAGATTCACATTATCTATCTAGACGGCGACAGGCAGGACTTCGTCAAAATATTCTTCAATGCTCTCGCATATTTTCGAATATTCACGACGTCCATCACCATAGCATCTTAACCATTATTATTAAAAAAAAATTTCTTTTGAAGGAGTATACAAGGGAAGATTGCCTATATTGGACTAGTTTTCAATTTCTTTCATAATTTACAAATATTTAAAAAAATGGGATGAAGACTAATTGGAAGTTATCCTTGATCTGTTTGTAACATTTTAGAATTTTTTGACATTTTTTGCACAACAACGTTTTTTTTCGAACCTCTGCAAGTGGTATAATTTTGGCAACTAGTTACTTAAATTGTATCACGGTATTTTTTATATTGTACCGTGTATCTTTTATCTTTTATCATACTGACGAGCTTAATTAAAAAATTATGAAGAGATGAAAAATAAAATCAAAATAATTAAAATAAATATATGTTTAATTGAAATTAGAGTTTTGTATAAAAGCTAGAAAAAACATTTTTAAAATATCTTAAAAATATAAACATTAAAATTACAAAAATTAAATGTTTTTGTGTTTTTTAAAGTTAACTAAGGAATTAATTTAATTCGTAGCTTGTATGAAAAACTGAAAAAATATTTTTTAATTATCAAATAAACATTAAAATTACTTATTAAAATAGTTATTAAAATTATATTCATTTCTATATGACGTTTATTTTATAGTTTTATAGAAAATCAACTTTTTACATTCATAAAATCATTGTTTGGCCACATTATAACTAAAAATTGTAGAATTTATCTATTATACCCACAAAATTAAAATTACAAAAATAAGATATTCTTTTTAAAACTTTATGAAGAAATAAACAAGCATTAAATAAAAATCTGTTTCTCAAATAAAACAGAAAATAAATATAGATAATAAAAAAATGAACTGTTTTCTATAGACTAAAAGTAATAGTCACAGATGTAGTTTTCTTAAATTATACCGGTACAATATAGGCAATCGACAGGTGATGTGATTTAAGAAATTAGAGATATTCTTTAAATTATGGCAGTGAAGTATAGAGGAAGATTATAGGTATAAACTACACTATGCAAATATGTCAATTGTAATGTAGGAAGAAAATGGCAAGTTGTTAAATTAATACACCTTTTTAAAACTTTCAAAACGCCTTATGTAAAAGTGGGTAAAACTTACTTCTAAAACTAAAAAAAATCTTTACTTACTTTTTTTAACAAGACGCTTTTGTATATAAACATTCACTTTCCTCTTAATTTTATAGTGATAGATGAACTTCGCATAATATGCAGAAGACGCTGGATTCTAAGACCTTCGGATTCTATGAAATATAAAGATGGTTCAATTTAGGAGTTGGTACAATATCGACAATTTTCTCCTATATATACTAGCAAACTCTTGCCTGCCGCCGCCTAGACAGATAACATGTACGTGAATATAGCTTTAGATTTATCAGCCCGGTATTTTGGTTCGTCTTATTTCTGTTCGAAATTATGTTTAACCTTCCTTCTCGGTCTCTCAGAGACCGTCTCTCGGTGACACGCAAAATCGATGCTTTCGAAATCACAAACGTTTACGTTTGCGAATATCCAATCTAGAAGCCAAAGTTCACGCTAAACCAGACTTTCAATACACTCTATTCGCATCATCTGAAAATCGGTCTCACAGACCGACCACCTTTGCGTATTGGGGAATCACGTGAAAATCAAGGAAGATTAATTATCGCGGCGATCGCGATTATCGTCCGATTCGACAGTGGGTCGGCAGCGATCGGAATAATTCTTCCGGAAAATGAGAACCAGAAATCGGTGTACCGCGATATACCATGCGCTCTGAAGAATATCACGTTGCCGTCGCAAGGTGAATAAATGGAATGGTATAGACGCACGGTAGTTGACGCACGGTAACGTGAAAATCCCGTCATCAGCGGGTCTCGCACGCTCGGATAATTGATTGCTTTTCGTTCGCTCTATAAAAGAGAGAGCGGAATAGCCAGAGGAGGCGCGAGAAAAGGGTGGAGAAAAGGAGAGAAGAGAGAAAAAGAAAGAGAGAGAGAGAGAGAGAGAGAGAGAGAGAAAAGACAAATCTATAGACCGGGAATCAAGCACGAACGGTAATGGAAAGCTCTAGTCAGTAGGAAAATCGTGCGCAGAGGCGATCGGCGATAATTAATTGCCGCAGCAAATGCGATCTCCGCCGGCGTGGCGCGGTTTATTGTACGACTGAATTAGCCGCGGTTAAAGAGCGAGAGTACTGAGCCCGTTCGACAATAAACAATATTAATAAATCTATCACGCCAGCCGATGTTCTCTCTTTTCTTATCTCACTAAACTGCCGTTAATATTCGGTTTAGATACGGCTGGCTAAATTACTATGAGTTTGGCCCCATTCATTCGTTCCTCGCACTTAATTCTTTCCCGTAAACTCTGTATATGCTAATAGACTTCCGCTAAACTGTTGAATGGATACAGAGTTGTACGTTATCTCGCAGAATGTAAATTTCTCCCTTATTTTATCATATTAAGAACGATGGACTTGGACACGCTCGTATTCTTGTGCACTTCCGAAGCATCTTACCATTGTTTAGGTAACTTTATATCTTTGTGACACATTAAACTTCAATGAACCTTATGAATTTGCAATGCGCATATATAACATACATAGCTGTAACATATCATTCGAAGCATATAATTAATTAATACGCCAATATTTATTATGAAATTCTTGTTAATATTATTTCCTGTTGTTAAATAGAATTTATACATATACTCTGTATGAAGAGCTATTAAAGTTTATATACGAATTTTTTAATATGTAATATTTAATATGTAATATTTTAGATTTTAGCAGAAATTATTCTTAGTTTAATTTTCATCTCAATTTTCTTTGCAGAAATTTGTATAACATCTATCAGCAATTTTTAGAGAATCTTCTCCTACATATGAATATTATTTCCTTCTATATTGTTTAAATCGGACGAAACAATGAGAAAACATGACGCCTTTTTCAACTACCATTTTGAAAAATATTGACGATAGTACAATGTCCTGCGATATTCGCCGTTCGTTTGAAATGTATTCACAATATTACTTGCGGTAATAAATATAAATATTTATAATTATCTAGTTCTATGTCCTTAGTTCAGATTGACTATATCTCAAACTGTAAATAATATTCGAAATAGCTAGAAGCAAACATAAGCAATGTATCAGTAACGTTGAAGCAATCCACGAATAACCATATCGTCACCTGTACTGTGTATACAGCGGATTCTATTATTTCTGCTAAAGTACCGAATACTGTGTATAATTTTTAATTGATATTGTAGATTCAATATATCATTAGTTATATAGGCATACTAAAATGGATATAAGGAAGATATTACTTCCATACTCTGGACCATGGGAGTCTGTATGTTACAATAAGATCTTTCATCCGAACTTTTGTCACGTTTGCAAAAAGACTATGGAAATGATAAATTTGACAGTATGTAATCGGTGTTTCTCCATCTCTTATTGCTCCGAAGATCATAAAAACCTGCATCTTTCTCAACACCGCGAGATTTGCACAGCTATAGAAAAGTATCTGAAGAACAACCCTCAATGTCTTATTCGCAGCTATGATCAGCAGGAATGGAAAAATGCAGTGAGAACATTTTGTGAATCAGTTATGAATGATATAGAGCGTGAGTTTGAGGAGTACGAAAGGCAAATGCTCCTCTTCATTAAATCATGCTTTATTTGTCATCTGCGCTGCGTATATTCTTGCAGAAAATGTCTGTCCGTCCATTATTGTCTACAACACCAGGGAGATTTCGAACAGAAACATCAAGAAATTGTCTGCAACCGTTTCATATTGTGGCTCAATATTGAGCTCTCAAGTGCTCGGTACGAAAATACATTAAAGCCGTTAGAATTAAGGAAGTTTCCCGATAACCAAACACCTATCGACAACATGGTAGAATTTATAGAAGAATATGTACAAAACAAAAAGGGCGAATGGAACGCCTTGGATTACGTGTATAGCGATTACGTGTCAGGGCCGCTCTCGGTATATTATGGTATGTCACAGGCAGAATTATCTGATGTTCTACTGACGAGATCTACCTGTATCATTCATATTGTACAAGCAAGTTCCGTAGAAAGAAACGGTTTACCAGCTTGGGAAATATTGTTACATCTTTTCCCAAATATACAAGAGCTAGCAGTCATATTGTTACAAACTGAATTGGAAACAAAGTTACAATACGAAATTGGTATGCAGAAGATTTGTCCCAATTGCGATTGTAATAAGAAACAATTTTTCTATGAATGTTGTTCTACAACATACAGCGATTACAGGGCCAATGGGTTATATAAAAAAGCGGACCTGATTATATGTTTTGAATCATTGTTCGCATATGGACTATTCGACGAATGTTTAATAACAATGCAATCTCAGCAATGTCCTGTACTTTTAACTTCTCCAAAGAACAGAGCGTTACATGAAATAGCTAAGATTCAGCAAGTTCTGAATAGGGATGTATATCCTTTCAGCTTTAAAAATAAATTCGAGTCTTTAAGACCACACAAATTCACTGAATGTATTCTTTATCGTAATTCGTTTTTGACTGTCTACAAAACATTAAGAAATATAAACGATACAATTGAAAGCAGTAGTTAAAATTGCATATAATTATATCTCCACTTTGGTGACATTTTGGTTTGTTGCGTTCATTGTCTCGTTAATTAAATCAATGATTCTCCGGGTAAATAGTATGCTAGGTTAATTATTTATACAAATAAATAAAAATTTCCTTAATAAAACTATGTATGTGCATGCATGTGTTATACATTTTTCAAAAAGATATAAAATATTTAAAACAGTTTATTAGTAAACGTATTTTCTTTTTCTTTTTTAGTTTGAATGAATGTCTTCTTTACGTCACACATATGGATTTCATTACATTTTATGTCTTTTTATTTTTATGATTATTTTCTTCTTATTTTATACTTTTCATTTTTATGATATGTGACGTGCAGCTTATCACATTTATTATGTTCTTTGTAAATACATGAATCTAAATTTATATGTCCGAGCGTTCGTGTGCAAGTAAAGGTCATCAAACGAAATAGAAATTTCTTCTACTATTATATAAAATTCTATTTTTATTACTGACAATTTAATGCAAGAATATTCGCAAATAAGTATTTAAGATGCGATGGGATAAACTCTTTCAAGTGAAGTCTTTTCCAAAATGATATGGATCTCTTGACAATCTTTTGACAACTGTAGGAGATAATGCTAGACGATAAAAACACGGAGTTTGATAATATTTGCTCATATTACCAGTTTTCATTGTCTACCATTAGGCATTATCCGCCATTACTAAAATAAGTTGTAAAAAGAACACAAGAAATTCAAGCATTTTATTATTATATTCTGAATGATTGCCGAATGCACTTTAATATTACATAAACATGTAATCTTTGTATTTCACAAGTTTTTATTAATTTTTTAATAAAATTTTAATTATTGTTAATAACTAACTCATCTTAATAATTTTTACAAATTTTATTAAAAAATTTGAAATATATAAGCAATTTGATTTCAATAAATTCAATAACTTCTTAATTATTTATTATGTGATTTTAATAGATGGTTATAAATAAATAATAAAATATTGTAAGATGATGTTATTGCGCTAAATGCTATTGCTAACAATGATATATAGATTACTAGTCGCGATTTATGTTAATAAATATAAATTATGTTAATAAATGTAATTCTACAAATATATTTTGTCAATTTTATACTTTCCAGATAGTAGGATAATTATTGGAATAGAGAATTAGAATAAGAATTAGAATAAGAAATGAGACGTAAATTTACATGTTTTTATTCTCTATTACATATACTGTGTAGCGAAAAATTAATGAGAAAATATTTCTGAAAAACTATATACGTTTCTTGCCACAAATATAACTGCTGAAAAACTAATCTTTTTTATTCAGACGGATGTACAGTCTGTAAAGTAAGAGCGTGTACGGCATAAATGGCAGTTGGCTTCAAATATCGTTCTAGTTTTTTTTTAGCCGTATTGTGAGGCATATCTCAAGCACAAGCTTATACGTTTTCTTATTTTTATGGTTTTTCATAATATATGACGAGCAACTTATCACATTTATGTTCTTTGTAAATACATTGCGTCTAAATCCGAGCGCTCATGTGCAGGTGAAAGTCATCAAACGGAATAGCAATACCTTCTACTATTATATAAAAATCTATACGTGAACTGCGGCTTTCAATGCGACCTCCTAATATATATGTCATAATAATTATTAGTTTACATTTAAATAATAAATTAGTATACATATAAATACATTTAAATTAATCAAAACACACTGTCCCATGCATTAATTTAAATAGAATTTAAGTAGAACAGTTGATTTTCTCAATTTATTCGCAAATTAATAATTGTGATATTGAGATGATCTAAAATCATTATGATATCGCACACAATATGACACATTATGGCCACAATATCAAATTTATTTAAATAGATAGGTACCTCATATTGATATCATAACTAATCAATATTGACATCATAGTCGCAATCAATTGTAGAGAAGAAGATGATATTATGACCCTCCATTCATATTTTTTTACAATAATTTTGTCAGTAATTAATATTTTAAAGTGAGAACTGAGTGATTACATTTGTCACATTTGTGTTGTTTAACCGATTATAGACTTAAATTTATGTAATGTTTATTACTTAGGATATTATTTATAAAAATGTGGCAACACAGCAAAATGAGTCGGCGAAAAAATGGGGTAGTAATATAGCCTCTCACTAAAACTGATATAAAAAATGAATTTTGTTTAAAATAACGTTTAAAATAACGAAAGTGCTTAGTTACGAATTTATATATTTATTCAAATTAAAATTTAGAGGGGAAATAATAATGAATGTAACTGCAAATTTTTAATGTGGATATTGACTTACTCGTTAGGAAATACAATCTGCCAGAGAGACAGCAGTATAATGCAAACATGAATGCAACAATAGACTACCGAATAGGATCGACTTGTCGAATCATTATTTTGGTATAAAAACCTCGAAAAAGAGATCATATTTATCAACACTCTTATGGAATTATATTAGCAAAATGTCATGTTATTTCATGTAACTTTGCATAACTTAAAAGTTGTGCAGCCAAATAAAATGTCAAGTAACAAACAAAATACTCAATTGTACACATATTCATGTGATAATACGCTCAAGTTTAAAAACAATGAGGAAACATGTCTAATTAAAAGTGCTAAAATGTACCGTGAAAAACATTTCGAGATGCTCGAGAGTAAAAATACATTATAAAAAGTGCTAGGCTATTACGTATTGATATATTAGCGTCACTGCGCTAACGGCGAACTACTAAACGAATGAGTAAGTAAGTAATAATTGGAATTCGCTACCTAATAACGGAGATATTGCGAGCGGCTATGATACCTACAAAGGCCATAATACCACTTTCTGCTCTATTAATATTTGAATTATGAGCTTGAAGAGCACGTATTCATTTCAGGATTAAAGGCCCGGAGATGTTACGGATTTTCCGGGGAATGGTCAAGCAGCGATACCGTACGAACGAAAATCTTAAGTTGTCGAAGCGTCCCGATCTGCGCGGACATCATCATGACACAAATCCAAACCGAGAGCGGTTGTGTACGTACAGATGTTTATTGCGCGAGGTACAATCCGAACTGTTAACGTTACAACGCGTTACGTCAACGTCGCGAAATCAAACGGCGCGTCTGACATGTACGTTTACACCTCGACACAACGGCAATAAAGGGATTGCCACGTGAGCGGCATTGTTGCAGTTTATCGTTTCGTAAGCAAATAGCGGGAAAGCTGCAGCGCGTAAAAATATCTGACGACACGCACCGCGAATATCGCAACCCCTTGACATCTGTAAAGTGTGGAACAGAAAAGCGAAGAGCTACGATAATGTCACACTTGAATCGTGGCGTTGGAAGACAGAGACATGACTCCGTTCATGACAATCGAACGGAGATGTTGAAGGATCTCGGCCGATGACGATTTCAAATTCAAATTCTGTATGTTTACCGACGAACGCTCGGTGCAGTTCAGGCAGAACAGTTCCAGAGAACGAGAAGCAAGGACGCGTCGATGAGAGCCAGGATGAACACGTGGCTTGCACGAGCTGCTGAAGCTGAAGAAGCGCACAAGCAGCTGGCAAAATGAAATCAACTTTTAATGACACGTGACTCGAATTGAAGACGTAGACTCCGGGCTTTTTTCCCGGCGAGAGTCGTCAAATGATCATCAGCCGGCGCTAATCAGAGAATTCGCCGAGGTGTTCCCTCGTAATCGACGACGCGCGTTTCGCCTGATGTTACTCGACGATGAAACACTCGCCGAATATAATATTCGTCAGGCCATTTCGCGCGCAATAAACGTCACTTCGCGCCCGAACAACCGTCGAAGGGACGGCGTGACAAGTTCCTCTGATCGAGGACGATCAATTTGGCGCTGCAGCACTGCGGACGGTTTTTGATTTCGCTCGTTGACAGGCTACCCGCCCACCCATCCGCCCGTTATTTCCACCCGCCGGGGCTGCGAGCTAGATTATTTGAACGTCCGTGAAAATTCCTCCGAATGAAAGAACAACGACGGTCGGCGAGCCGGCATCGCCATTGCCGCCCGTCCGTACATCTCGCTATGGTCGCTCTCGATCCGCGGGCTCTGAACGATAACACTTTTGTCAGGCATCCGAGCGATGTTAATTCTCTAAAATCCCGCCGTGCGAGTCCACATTTATTTCCACACCCGCGCGTGCTCGGCGCGAATCGCGTATGCCGCGAGCGCGATGCGCGTAGCGCAGACCGCGGCACGTCCGCTGAATTTTTCAGGTTCGAACTTTTCCGCCGATTAATTGTTGCGAGAAAGAGAAATGGGGACAACTTTCCACGCTAAGTGCGATTTTGTAAGCCGTATATTTTTTTCCTCGGACAGCCGGAATAGTTTCTTCGGTTCGGTTCGTGCGGCACCCATTTTTCTCCTTTCCGAATCTTTCCCCATTTCTCGCAAACGACTGGAAACGGTTTGTTGAGTAACCCATTACTGTCCTGCGAGTGCATTGTCCCACAAATTGACAGATATTTTAGTTATCATGGTCAATACTACATACTCGCAAGAGGGTAAAATATTTGGGATTTAAACTGCTTGACCGTTTTCGCAAAGTAAATTTCTCTCTCTCTCTTTTGTACAGCTAATTTAAACACGCAGCATCATTGTATAGAAGCTTTGGCACCAGCACGTCGGCAAATAGCTCGAACAGAAAAATTAATAGGGCTCTGGTAAGGGTCTGATTATTTTTCCCTAATATTAATCGGGTCCTAGTAGGGATAGAAAGATAAAGGCCCTACAAGATGTGTAACAAATGATTTAACGGGTCCTTATGAGGCAATATCATCAGGGCCTTATAAGGAAATATTTTTATTATTGCTTGAATAAAAAATCCATTCTTTTCATTCTAAGAAAGTTAAACTGTAATTTCTTTATTTCTTTATAACCTTGTTAGTATACAAGAAAATTTTATTTTAAAAATATAGCATTCTTTACACATAAAAATTCTACTACTGTTTTTATTGAAGTTTGCTGCATTTCAAAACGAAGGCAACACTAGAAAAATCCTTGGAAAAGACTAATGAATATGGCAACTAATCAAACT